GACTTATAATGCGGTGATCAGTCAGCACTTTGGGCAAATATGCCTTGGGCTTTTTGCCCAATCATAAGATTCTTCTGTGAGGAGCACGTCAGAAGCCACTCAAAGTGAGTGGGAATTATGGGGGCTTAAAATCAAGCTGTCATCTTTCATCATGCCATCTCCTCTTTCTGATTTGCTAGTGCTGCTCTCATACAACACCTGCAGAGCAGGGCCAACCCTGTGATACAATTGTGGTATTTGTAAGCACTGTAATCCAACTGGTAGATCACCCTGTCTATGCAGGTAGGCATCTTTTTGACTCCCTCTGCCCCCATAGCACACGAGAGGGCTGATTAAGAAGAGGGTGATGACAAGTAGTGCTCAAAGGATCTCTTGTCCTGAACTATGTTCAGGGTAGCACACTACTGCTTCAGAGCTCATCTTAACAGGGAGGGGGAATAGAGGCTTCAGAAAATCAGAATGCTTTTCAGAAGCTTGCACAAAGCTGTAATAGTAGCACCTCTGTATGGGACCTGTCCTCATCAGTTTGAAGTAGACGGATGAACCATTAAACACTCGTGTGAAGTGTTGCTCCTGTTACGAATGTGCAAGAGCTGTAAGGCTGATCAGTGTTCCTGAGGCTTCCAGTGGCTTTTCACACGCTGTCCCAAGGAGGTGGAGGAACTAGGTGCTATAGCCCTATTCCTATTCCGTTTTTCCTACAGACTTAGTCAAAGCCCGGATAGTGGCTTGTGGCTTAATCATAAAGATGATAAAGAATGGGAAAGTCAATGATAGTGGGATCACTCTGACTCCCCTTTCTTAGGAAAGGGGGAGCAGCAGATCCTTTCTGAAGAGCAACAAGGGGTAAAACTGGTACTGACACTTTCCTTGCTTTCTTGGAGAGTCAGTTTGCTTAGTTTCTTGGCGGCTGCATTCTTTTAGTGGGACACGGGGATTGTGGGATGAATCCAGTCTGAACAGCTGTTGGTGAATGCCTTCAGGATACTGAAATACTTACCTTGCATATATGCAGGAGAACCTTACCACAGCGAGCTTTGGAAGCTTTTGCAGCACTGTGAATCATAAGCTGTCCCCTTCAGAATACAGTTGCCAGGGAAATAAGAATTGGAGATGACTTGCATT